CAGTCCCCCCCCCACACACACATCCCTGGGAGCAAGGGGAGTTGTCAGCTGCCCCCGCCCAGCCACGAGCTGTTCAAGAGGCTGAAATGGTCAGACACCCCTGCCAACTGGTCCTCTCTATGGCCCATCTGTGCGCCATCCTCCACGTTGCCACACGCTGCCTGCCCCCCAAACCTCAACACCCACACGCCCCCTGCTCCTCCCAGTCCCCCCACACACACATCCCTGGGAGCAAGGGGAGTTGTCAGCTGCCCCCGCCCAGCCACGAGCTGTTCAAGAGGCTGAAATGGTCAGACACCCCTGCCAACTGGTCCTCTCTATGGCCCATCTGTGCGCCATCCTCCACGTTGCCACACGCTGCCTGCCCCCCAAACCTCAACACCCACACGCCCCCTGCTCCTCCCAGTCTCAACACCCACACCTCACCTGGCCCCCACAAGTCCCAATGCTGCCTTGCTGCGAAACACCTGACGCTGCTTGGCAAATACCAGCAATGGATAGCCAAAGAGAATCTACTGTGAGCCAGGAGCGTTTTGTAGGTCTTTCGATTATATCAATTGAAAACGACCTGTGTAAAGAAATGGACTTTACTGACATCATTGAAGAATGTGCTGCCAAAAGAGCTAAACAGCTATAGTAGACTTAAATATAAATTAAAATGTTTAATTATTAATGCAGAATTGTGTTTAAGAATGAATATCAATATAATTAAAATAAAAATTATCCAACTAAATTAAGTTTCTATCAAATTTACCCAATTCACATTTAATATGAAAAATAGCCTTCAATTTGATGCATTTGACGCCTTTTTTCTATTTTGTCTCCAAAGGGGGGCCCTGCAAAATTGTGCTGCCCTGGGCCCCGCAAAACTCTCATCCGTCCCTGCCAAGGAAGGTGTGAGTACATCCAAACTGCACCTTGATGATTGTGTAGTGTTTTGTACTGTGATGGCAGTAGTCATGGTATCCTTCTGAATCTTCCAGATGATCACTCTACTTTTTAAGCTTAACTGGTAGTCAGTATAATAATATATGATCACAACTAGTGAGGAATTTATCCAGTCCTGTTTAAAATTCAGCCCCATTATGTTTCTGAATGCGTGGCACCAAATTCCATCTTTCATAGCTTATAAAACTTTACAGTTCAATAAATTAACGTAATTTGCAATGATCAGTCCAATGTTTGAGATTAGGAGTAACCAGAGCTCCAAGTAGTCTGCAGTTCTCAAAAGTAAACATACATTTAAAATATACACACGCCTTATAAGACTTTTAAAAATGGCTACAATGTGATAAAAGACCCATAACTGGCCAAGGTAAGCTTGGTTCAGGTGGCAGAGCTGTAATAGTGCAGTACAGAAAAAGGTAAAATTAAGGTGGTACACTTCAGTGTGATGTACTGGTTTCAGACTGGGCGGCTGGAGCTGGGGCGCTGAATGTTGCTGGCAACCTGGGCTGCATGGCCATGGTACATCCAGGATCCGGCGACCAGCCCTAGGAATCCGGAGGCTGGACAGCATTGTTACTGCGCCCCAGCCATCCCTGGGGATCTGCTAGCTGGGCAGTGTGGCAACTGCACTTCCAGGCTCAAGTTTCCACCGCACACATCCCACTCCTCTGAGCCCCCTGACATCCCACAAAACTCCTGCTCTAACTCCTGCACTTCCACACCCTTTCCCTGAGCCATCCCACCCCTGCCTTGACTTCTGTACCCTCCACCCTGAGCCCCCCACACCTCCTAGCCCATTGCCCCAAGTCTTGCAGCCTGTACAACCCAAACCCCTGCCCTGACTCCTGCATCACCAGTAGCTTCCCCACATCCATTCCAATCCTGCGATCCATGAGCTTTTTCCACACTTTTTTCTTGTGAATACTGTCTTATTGTTACCTCCCCTGCCCCATAGGTAGGCACCCCCTCACTCCATTCCACACTTTTTTCTTGTGAATACTATCTTATTGTTACCTCCCCTGCCCCATAGGTAGGCAAGTTGCAATACAGCAGTACTAATAAGAAATGTGCTTCCTCTTGTTCCCCATCTTCTGCGTGTGTGGGGGGAATTAATTGGATTCCAGGTGATTTTATATCTTAGAAAAGAGGAGACTAAGGGGGAATATGATAGAGTTCTATAAAATCATGACTGGTGTGGAAAAAGTGAATGAGGAAAAGTTATTATCTTGTTTCCATAACATAAGAATCTAGGGGTCACCAAATAAAATTAATAGGTAGCAGGTTGAAAACAAACAAAAGGAAGTTTTTCTTCATGCAGTGCACAGTCAACCTGTGGAGCTCCTTGCCAGAGGATGTTGTGAAGATCAGGACTTTAACAGGGTTCAGAAAAGAATTAGATAAAATCATGGAGATTAAGTCCATCAATGGATGTTAGCCAGGATGAATAGAGAAGTGAATTGCTGAAGCCTAGCTGCAAGCTACTCTCCTCCTTGACATAAATGGGGATAAGGCTGGGCTCAGAATGGTCACCAAGACAGCTCCCTAGGAGCTTCAGCCCACAGATTTGCATTGGATTACCATATTTGAAAATATTGATTTATATTGCATCTGAAAATCTTAAACCATAAATTGTAGTTGAATGTTTTTCAAGGCATAATGGAATGGG